TTTTTTTTTTTTTTCCCGAGTTCTTTGTAAAACCTTTCATGGACTATCCAGGGTTTTGAGGCTGCTTTGGCATCTGGAGCAAAAGAAGTGGCTGTATTTGCTGCAGCATCCGAGTCATTTTCCCGTTCAAACATAAATTGCAGCATTGTAGATAGTCTTGCTCGATATTGTGAAGTTGCACTTGCCGCTAAAGAACACTCTATTCCAGTTCGTGGGTATTTTACTTGTACTTTTGCTTCTTGTGAAAATTCAGCATTTTTTTTAGCTCTTTGAGTTTTGAGTTATGAATTTGTGCTTAAGCATTAGAATTCTTATAACAATGTGAATTAGTTTTCTCTATCTTTGAAAAAGTGGCGCTTAATTTGATCCTTGCAGATATATATCATGTGTTGTGGGTTGTCCAGTTGAAGGGGCAGTGCCTCCTTCGAAAGTAGCCTATGTTGCTGAAGAACTTTATAAAATGGGTTGTTCTGAAATATCTCTTGGTGATACAATTGGAGTCGGCACTCCTGGTATAGTTGAATCTTGTTGAATTTCATCCACCAAAAGGAAAAATAAATAAATAAATGCCAAAGTTCTAAATTATATCGTGCATTTTTTCATTGTGTCAGGTAGTGTGATTCCAATGCTTGAAGCTGTTCTTAATGTTGTTCCATTAGAGAAGCTTGCTGTACATTTTCACGACACTTACGGGCAAGCCCTTTCAAACATTCTCTTATCACTCCAGGTAATCTTTATTACTCCTCGTAATTGATTTGAAATATCGCTTCTATAGTTATTCCGTTTGACCAGTCAAATTTGAAACGGTAACATTTGATTGGGATACCGAACTTCACACAGAATCAAAACGGTTCATAATGATCCATTCAAACGAAAAACTAAAAACTCTTATATCCATTTTTTTTAATTCGATTTAGCAATGTTACAGATGGGTATCAGCACTGTGGACTCTTCCATATCGGGCCTCGGTGGTTGCCCGTATGCCAAAGGCTCTACTGGAAATGTGGCCACCGAAGATGTTGTCTATATGCTTAATGGGCTGGGCGTGCAAACAAATGTGGATCTCGAAAAACTCATTTGGGCTGGAGATTACATTTCCAAGCATTTGGGTCGGTCTTCTGGTTCGAAGGCTGCAACTGCATTAAGAAGAAGAATCTTGGCTAATGCCTCCAAGCTCTAATAAGGCCTTTTTAATTGAGGAAAACAAAGAAAGAACTAAAGAACTAAAGAAAAATTAAAAAG